TTAAAGAAGATGCAGATGACGTTACAATGGCAGCGGTACATTCAGCAGAAGAAGAGTTAGGAGATTATATAGGGATAAAAGAAGAAATAGTAAACAAATATAGGACTCAAATAATAATTACGAATAACAAAATAAAAGAAACAGAAACAATTTTAGGTAGAAAAATAATATACATTGAAGAGTATAATTTTAATAATTAAGGTAAAATGTTTAGAAGAAATATAGGTAAAGGTAGAGTAGGTATTTATTCTGAACTGTCGGACACACAATATCATATAGTACAGGAAAAATTAAGAGAAATGTATAGTAATAATAATCATTTAAAATTTACGAAATGTTCCTATAAAGCTCAAGAAGTAGAAACAGAAGTCGAATCAACAAAACAAATATCTTATTATCATGTTAGGGAAAGTGTACATTCAGCTATACAGGAGACATATAATAATATAAAAATAAAAATTTATTACCCAAGGTTACTAGAGTTAGTACAGATAGTCATCGATCAGTGTAATATTTGCAAACAGGTAAAATACGACAGGAGACCAATAAAACAAAAATTTAAGAAAACTGAAACACCGTCGGGTATAAATGAAATTATACATGTAGAGACATATGTCATAATTAAATCGAGTTTTCTAACAATAATAGATAAATTTTCAAAGTTTGGTGCAGTATATGCATTAAATGAAGTAATGTCTTTATATCTAACAAGTCCCAATGCTCAGAGAGAAACTTGAAAGCACGACCTTATTTGATATGGGCTTTTTTAAATCGAAGTGGCTATTTTTTGAGAAGAAATATTAAAATAAATTTACACTTATTATAAAGCAGGTAAAATTTAGAAAATATATTTGAAAAATCAAAAAAATATATTAATATTTTCATTGATAATTATTTTAAAATTTAAAAAAAAGCGGAAAAACAACAAGCACATTCCTCGCCTTCAACGTTTTATATGTTACTGAAAGCACTTCATTATTTTTAAGTGAACAGCTTTTTTTTCTCATAGGGTAAGTTAAATCAAGATATGGGAAGTAACTTTGGTGTCAAGTTGAAAATATAATTAATGAAAGATAATTATTGAATATTGATATAAATACATAGTAAAGAAAAAATTTGAAAAAGGGAATTAGAAAATAATATCTAAAACACAATCAAATATTATTTTTTAAATACAAATTTTATATAAACTTCAAAATTTTACCTCTACTTTTATTTGAAAAAATATTAAAAACTTACTATCATTTATATCAATTACCTAAGAAAAAAAAATATTTAAAATGTTTGGAAAAAACAATCATATATTTTTATGACCGGATTTGAATATTTTTTTATTTTTGAAATAAATGGTATTTTACCAAATGACTCAAAAATTCCGACTGTAAAATAACAGGTTTTTTAAAATTTTTGTTCTTTATGTAATATTCTTTCCGTTTAGAATTAAGATAGGTCATACATACACATGCAGGGACATTTTATAAATAGATTGCTCTTGTTTACCTGCTCATAAAATATGAAAAAAGAGCACAGCAAAATTTTTGAAGCACTCAATATAACAATATCACCCTTCACCGAGATTTTGCAAGATTTAAAAATAATTTAAAGATAAAAACTAATATTATATATGATTAGTTTAAAATTTAATGTAAAAAATTATTATCAATATATATAAAAAATTAAGTAAATCTCGGGTTGAGTTATTGCATATAGTAACTTAATCGCCCGAATTATTAGCTTTTTACAAAATTATATTTATATATATCTTAAATGTTAAAAAAAATATTTTGAATGTTTTTCGGAATGTAAGATAAAATAAAGAAATATCAAGGTTAATTAAATGCTACACGACGTGTTTTAGTTATTGAGTGTTTAGGCTTCAAATTGTTTGACAAAACCGTGTATGCAGGCTTAAGTCTATTGATTGAAAATGAAGTTTTTTTTACAATTCATGTCGAATACGAAATGTTTTCTAAATCTACCCACGACTTTATATGGACCTAAACACAGTCACGAAAATATGTTCACAGGCTCCCCGGGGCGGTCGGAATTAAGTTGCGCATTATCTGCTTATGCCTTGTAATAAGAGATCCGTAATCGGAAGTTGTGTGTTTTGTATCATTGGTAAAAATCTCGCCTGGCAAACGTAAATTTTACACGTAAACCATATTTAAAAGAATAATTTAAAAGAAACAAATTATAAAATTGGCGCAGTCTACGGTACGAACAATTATTGGAAAATAGTGAAAAAAGATATAATTTTTTCTAAAAATAATAAGCTTTTAATATTAGAAAAATAAAAAATAACTTTTCATTAACTCCAATAAATAAATTAAAATAAAATAGTAAAGTGTATAATAAATTAACAGTGGAAAACGGAGACACCATTATAATAAAAACAAAAACACTAAACTAAATATTTATATTATAAAAATATTGACTCAAGGAGTCTTATTAGATAAAATATATTTCGAAAGAGATTTAGGGAAAATTATAACAATCATGAGGCCGAGACCTTATGAAGATAGCTGTATAAGAGATGAATTTAAATACAAACAAAATTTTAATAAATATAAAGATGAAAGAAATAAAAAAGAAACAAATGTTAACCGGAGTCATATTTTTTCTAGCTCCAACAATTATCATAAAAACACAACTTTTAGAAATGTGAATAATTTTGATGTTAGAAACCATAATATCAGTACAAACAATAATAATTTCGATTCAGGAAATTTTAGAAGGCATAGTTTTCGCCAAAATATTAGTAATTGGAATAGAAATAACACAGGTCAGTCAGAACAATATAATAATAGGAATTATAATAGTACTTTTAATCAAAATAACATTAATAGAAATAGTACTAATAATTCAGGCCAGTACAATAATAGTAGGAATAATTTTAATAATTCAGGCCAATATAATATGAACAGAAATAGTGCAAATAATAATAATAGAAATAGTAATTCAGGTCAGTATCGACGGAGCCATAGCAGACAAGATGAAGCTATGGAAGTAGACAATATTCAGAGAAATAGTGTTAGAGAGGATGTTCAATCGAATCATGTTTTTTACAAACTAGCCTCGGAACATCTAACTATGATACAGATTACTATTAATAAATTAAAATATCTAGCATTAGTTGATACGGGGTCAACATTTTGTATAATAGACAATAGAGTATTACGTTTTAAGGAAGTAGAAATAGCTCCGGTCCATTATTCCACAATGGAAAAGATTCAATAAATAGGGAAGTACATACGCCAACTCCAGAACAATTTGGTTTTCCAGTAGGTGCAATGACTAGGTGGAAGAAAACAAATCTTCCTAATAGAAATTATCACTTTATAATAGGAAATGACTTACTGACGAATTTGAACGCTAAAATAAATTTAGAGCAGGGATAAATAATTATGAATAATAAAAAAATAAAATTGTTAAATATTCCATATTTAGCTGATCAAATATGTACTTTAGAAATAGTTGACATAAACATAGTAGACCATCTAAAATTAGACCATTTAAATAGAGAAGAATTGGTAGAAGTTAAAAAAGTAGTGAAAAAATTTGAGGACATATTTTTTAAGGAGGGAGATAGGCTTACCAGCACACCTGAGGTCAAACATGAAATTATAATGATTACGGATCAACAAGTAAACGCGAAATTATACAGGTATCCTCCACAACATGATGAAGAAGTAAGGCGACAGATCAGGGAAATGGAATCGCAAGGAATAATTAGAAAAAGTAACTCCAAATATTCTAGTCCTTTAATAAGTTCCAAAGAAAAGCGATAATTCGGGAGTGAAAAAATTCAGGATTTGTATAGATTATAGAAAACTAAACGAAATAACTATTGACGATAAGTATCCATTGCCTAATATAGACTCAATCCTTGATAAGTTAGGAAAAGCTCAGTATTTTACCACTTTAGATTTAGCTAAAGGGTATCACCAAATCTTAATAAGGAAAGAAGATAAAAAGAAAACTGCATTCGTAACACCATACGGCTTATATGAATATAATAGAATGCCTTTTGGGTTGAAAAATGCCCCAGCAACATTTCAGAGATTAATTAATGACGTACTTAGAGACCATATAAATAGTAACAGTGTTGTATATTTAGATGACGTATTAATTTTTAGTACTTCTTTAGAAGAACATGTAAGAGCTACTACAGCAATTTTTAAAATTTTTAAAGAAAAAGGATTGAAAGTACAGATAGATAAGTGAAACTTTATGAAAAAAGAAACGGAATTTTTAGGTCATATATTGACAAAAGAGGGAATTAAACCAAACCAGAAGAAATCAAAGTTATAGAACAAGTAAACATACCAAAAACGACGAAACAACTTTAAAGCTTTTTGGGCCTTGGGCCTTTTTGGGCCTCTGGAAAATTTGTTAGGGATTATGCCAAGGTCGCTCAACCTATGACAAAATATTTGAAAAAGGAAACAAAAATAAACGTAAGAGATCCAAATTATGTAGAGGCGTTTGAGAAATTGAAGAGTTTAATAACAAGTCATCCGATACTTAGATATCCGGATTATGAGATATCTTTTACTTTAACGACGGATGCGTCAAACTATGCCATGGGTGCAGTTCTGTCTCAAGAGGGACATCCAGTTTTCTCTGCATCACGAACATTAAATAACCATGAGAAAAATTATTCCGCTACGGATAAGGAATTTTTGGCAATAATGTGGTCAGTGAACTACTTTAGGCCATATCTTTACGGAAAGAAATTCAAAATCTTAACAGATCATCAACCAATAAAGTATCTACACGCCAAGTACAAAGGAAAAGATATGTCACCGAGATAGCAACGATGGTTATTGAAATTGGGAGAATATCAATTCGAAATAGTTTATCTTAAAGGAAAAGAAAACAAAGTTCCAGATTTTTTAAGTAGAGTAGAAATTAATGATGATAAAGAAAATAATAATGATAAATTAGAAGAAAGTTTAGAAAATTTTAATATTAAAGAAGATGCAGATGACGTTACAATGGCAGCGGTACATTCAGCAGAAGAAGAGTTAGGAGATTATATAGGGATAAAAGAAGAAATAGTAAACAAATATAGGACTCAAATAATAATTACGAATAACAAAATAAAAGAAACAGAAACAATTTTAGGTAGAAAAATAATATACATTGAAGAGTATAATTTTAATAATTAAAGTGAAATGTTTAGAAGAAATATAGGTAAAGGTAGAGTAGGTATTTATTCTGAACTGTCGGACACACAATATCATATAGTACAGGAAAAATTAAGAGAAATGTATAGTAATAATAATCATTTAAAATTTACGAAATGCTCCTATAAAGCTCAAGAAGTAGAAACAGAAGTCGAATCAACAAAACAAATATCTTATTATCATGTTAGGGAAAGTGTACATTCAGCTATACAGGAGACATATAATAATATAAAAATAAAAATTTATTACCCAAGGTTACTAGAGTTAGTACAGATAGTCATCAATCAGTGTGATATTTGCAAACAGGTAAAATACGACAGGAGACCAATAAAACAAAAATTTAAGAAAACTGAAACACCGTCGGGTATAAATGAAATTATACATGTAGAGACATATGTCATAATTAAATCGAGTTTTCTAACAATAATAGATAAATTTTCAAAGTTTGGTGCAGTATATGCATTAAATGAAGTAATGTCTTTATATCTAACAAGTCCCAATGCTCAGAGAGAAACTTGAAAGCACGACCTTATTTGATATGGGCTTTTTTAAATCGAAGTGGCTATTTTTTGAGAAGAAATATTAAAATAAATTTACACTTATTATAAAGCAGGTAAAATTTAGAAAATATATTTGAAAAATCAAAAAAATATATTAATATTTTCATTGATAATTATTTTAAAATTTAAAAAAAAGCGGAAAAACAACAAGCACATTCCTCGCCTTCAACGTTTTATATGTTACTGAAAGCACTTCATTATTTTTAAGTGAACAGCTTTTTGTTCTCATAGGGTAAGTTAAATCAAGATATGGGAAGTAACTTTGGTGTCAAGTTGAAAATATAATTAATGAAAGATAATTATTGAATATTGATATAAATACATAGTAAAGAAAAAATTTGAAAAAGGGAATTAGAAAATAATATCTAAAACACAATCAAATATTATTTTTTAAATACAAATTTTATATAAACTTCAAAATTTTACCTCTATTTTTATTTGAAAAAATATTAAAAACTTACTATCATTTATATCAATTACCTAAGAAAAAAAAATATTTAAAATGTTTGGAAAAAACAATCATATATTTTTATGACCGGATTTGAATATTTTTTTATTTTTGAAATAAATGGTATTTTACCAAATGACTCAAAAATTCCGACTGTAAAATAACAGGTTTTTTAAAATTTTTGTTCTTTATGTAATATTCTTTCCGTTTAGAATTAAGATAGGTCATACATACACATGCAGGGACATTTTATAAATAGATTGCTCTTGTTTACCTGCTCATAAAATATGAAAAAAGAGCACAGCAAAATTTTTGAAGCACTCAAAATAACAATATCACCCTTCACCGAGATTTTGCAAGATTTAAAAATAATTTAAAGATAAAAACTAATATTATATATGATTAGTTTAAAATTTAATGTAAAAAATTATTATCAATATATATAAAAAATTAAGTAAATCTCGGGTTGAGTTATTGCATATAGTAACTTAATCGCCCGAATTATTAGCTTTTTACAAAATTATATTTATATATATCTTAAATGTTAAAAAAAATATTTTGAATGTTTTTCGGAATGTAAGATAAAATAAAGAAATATCAAGGTTAATTGAATGCTACACGACGTGTTTTAGTTATTGAGTGTTTAGGCTTCAAATTGTTTGACAAAACCGTGTATGCAGGCTTAAGTCTATTGATTGAAAATGAAGTTTTTTTTACAATTCATGTCGAATACGAAATGTTTTCTAAATCTACCCACGACTTTATATGGACCTAAACACAGTCACGAAAATATGTTCACAGGCTCCCCGGGGCGGTCGGAATTAAGTTGCGCATTATCTGCTTAAGCCTTGTAATAAGAGATCCGTAATCGGAAGTTGTGTGTTTTGTATCATTGGTAAAAATCTCGCCTGGCAAACGTAAATTTTACACGTAAACCATATTTAAAAGAATAATTTAAAAGAAACAAATTATAAAATTGGCGCAGTCTACGGTACGAACAATTATTGGAAAATAGTGAAAAAAGATATAATTTTATCTAAAAATAATAAGCTTTTAATATTAGAAAAATAAAAAATAACTTTTCATTAACTCCAATAAATAAATTAAAATAAAATAGTAAAGTGTATAATAAATTAACAGTGGAAAACGGAGACACCATTATAATAAAAACAAAAACACTAAACTAAATATTTATATTATAAAAATATTGACTCAAGGAGTCTTATTAGATAAAATATATTTCGAAAGAGATTTAGGGAAAATTATAACAATCATGAGGCCGAGACCTTATGAAGATAGCTGTATAAGAGATGAATTTAAATACAAACAAAATTTTAATAAATATAAAGATAAAAGAAATAAAAAAGAAACAAATGTTAACCGGAGTCATAGTTTTTCTAGCTCCAACAATTATCATAAAAACACAACTTTTAGAAATGTGAATAATTTTGATGTTAGAAACCATAATATCAGTACAAACAATAATAATTTCGATTCAGGAAATTTTAGAAGGCATAGTTTTCGCCAAAATATTAGTAATTGGAATAGAAATAACACAGGTCAGTCAGAACAATATAATAATAGGAATTATAATAGTACTTTTAATCAAAATAACATTAATAGAAATAGTACTAATAATTCAGGCCAGTACAATAATAGTAGGAATAATTTTAATAATTCAGGCCAATATAATATGAACAGAAATAGTGCAAATAATAATAATAGAAATAGTAATTCAGGTCAGTATCGACGGAGCCATAGCAGACAAGATGAAGCTATGGAAGTAGACAATATTCAGAGAAATAGTGTTAGAGAGGATGTTCAATCGAATCATGTTTTTTACAAACTAGCCCCGGAACATCTAACTATGATACAGATTACTATTAATAAATTAAAATATCTAGCATTAGTTGATACGGGGTCAACATTTTGTATAATAGACAATAGAGTATTACGTTTTAAGGAAGTAGAAATAGCTCCGGTCCATTATTCCACAATGGAAAAGATTCAATAAATAGGGAAGTACATACGCCAACTCCAGAACAATTTGGTTTTCCAGTAGGTGCAATGACTAGGTGGAAGAAAACAAATCTTCCCCATAGAAATTATCACTTTATAATAGGAAATGACTTACTGACGAATTTGAACGCTAAAATAAATTTAGAGCAGGGATAAATAATTATGAATAATAAAAAAATAAAATTGTTAAATATTCCATATTTAGCTGATCAAATATGTACTTTAGAAATAGTTGACATAAACATAGTAGACCATCTAAAATTAGACCATTTAAATAGAGAAGAACTGGTAGAAGTTAAAAAAGTAGTGAAAAAATTTGAGGACATATTTTTTAAGGAGGGAGATAGGCTTATCAGCACACCTGAGGTCAAACATGAAATTATAATGATTACGGATCAACCAGTAAACGCGAAATTATACAGGTATCCTCCACAACATGATGAAGAAGTAAGGCGACAGATCAGGGAAATGGAATCGCAAGGAATAATTAGAAAAAGTAACTCCAAATATTCTAGTCCTTTAATAAGTTCCAAAGAAAAGCGATAATTCGGGAGTGAAAAAATTCAGGATTTGTATAGATTATAGAAAACTAAACGAAATAACTATTGACGATAAGTATCCATTGCCTAATATAGACTCAATCCTTGATAAGTTAGGAAAAGCTCAGTATTTTACCACTTTAGATTTAGCTAAAGGGTATCACCAAATCTTAATAAGGGAAGAAGATAAAAAGAAAACTGCATTCGTAACACCATACGGCTTATATGAATATAATAGAATGCCTTTTGGGTTGAAAAATGCCCCAGCAACATTTCAGAGATTAATTAATGACGTACTTAGAGACCATATAAATAGTAACAGTGTTGTATATTTAGATGACGTATTAATTTTTAGTACTTCTTTAGAAGAACATGTAAGAGCTACTACAGCAATTTTTAAAATTTTTAAAGAAAAAGGATTGAAAGTACAGATAGATAAGTGAAACTTTATGAAAAAAGAAACGGAATTTTTAGGTCATATATTGACAAAAGAGGGAATTAAACCAAACCCAGAAAAAATCAAAGTTATAGAACAAGTAAACATACCAAAAACAACGAAACAACTTTAAAGCTTTTTGGGCCTTGGGCCTTTTTGGGCCTCTGGAAAATTTGTTAGGGATTATGCCAAGGTCGCTCAACCTATGACAAAATATTTGAAAAAGGAAACAAAAATAAACGTAAGAGATCCAAATTATGTAGAGGCGTTTGAGAAATTGAAGAGTTTAATAACAAGTCATCCGATACTTAGATATCCGGATTATGAGATATCTTTTACTTTAACGACGGATGCGTCAAACTATGCCATGGGTGCAGTTCTGTCTCAAGAGGGACATCCAGTTTTCTCTGCATCACGAACATTAAATAACCATGAGAAAAATTATTCCGCTACGGATAAGGAATTTTTGGCAATAATGTGGTCAGTGAACTACTTTAGGCCATATCTTTACGGAAAGAAATTCAAAATCTTAACAGATCATCAACCAATAAAGTATCTACACGCCAAGTACAAAGGAAAAGATATGTCACCGAGACAGCAACGATGGTTATTGAAATTGGGAGAATATCAATTCGAAATAGTTTATCTTAAAGGAAAAGAAAACAAAGTTCCAGATTTTTTAAGTAGAGTAGAAATTAATGATGATAAAGAAAATAATAATGATAAATTAGAAGAAAGTTTAGAAAATTTTAATATTAAAGAAGATGCAGATGACGTTACAATGGCAGCGGTACATTCAGCAGAAGAAGAGTTAGGAGATTATATAGGGATAAAAGAAGAAATAGTAAACAAATATAGGACTCAAATAATAATTACGAATAACAAAATAAAAGAAACAGAAACAATTTTAGGTAGAAAAATAATATACATTGAAGAGTATAATTTTAATAATTAAGGTGAAATGTTTAGAAGAAATATAGGTAAAGGTAGAGTAGGTATTTATTCTGAACTGTCGGACACACAATATCATATAGTACAGGAAAAATTAAGAGAAATGTATAGTAATAATAATCATTTAAAATTTACGAAATGTTCCTATAAAGCTCAAGAAGTAGAAACAGAAGTCGAATCAACAAAACAAATATCTTATTATCATGTTAGGGAAGTGTACATTCAGCTATACAGGAGACATATAATAATATAAAAATAAAAATTTATTACCCAAGGTTACTAGAGTTAGTACAGATAGTCATCAATCAGTGTGATATTTGCAAACAGGTAAAATACGACAGGAGACCAATAAAACAAAAATTTAAGAAAACTGAAACACCGTCGGGTATAAATGAAATTATACATGTAGAGACATATGTCATAATTAAATCGAGTTTTCTAACAATAATAGATAAATTTTCAAAGTTTGGTGCAGTATATGCATTAAATGAAGTAATGTCTTTATATCTAACAAGTCCCAATGCTCAGAGAGAAACTTGAAAGCACGACCTTATTTGATATGGGTTTTTTTAAATCGAAGTGGCTATTTTTTGAGAAGAAATATTAAAATAAATTTACACTTATTATAAAGCAGGTAAAATTTAGAAAATATATTTGAAAAATCAAAAAAATATATTAATATTTTCATTGATAATTATTTTAAAATTTAAAAAAAAGCGGAAAAACAACAAGCACATTCCTCGCCTTCAACGTTTTATATGTAACTGAAAGCACTTCATTATTTTTAAGTGAACAGCTTTTTTTTCTCATAGGGTAAGTTAAATCAAGATATGGGAAGTAACTTTGGTGTCAAGTTGAAAATATAATTAATGAAAGATAATTATTGAATATTGATATAAATACATAGTAAAGAAAAAATTTGAAAAAGGGAATTAGAAAATAATATCTAAAACACAATCAAATATTATTTTTTAAATACAAATTTTATATAAACTTCAAAATTTTACCTCTATTTTTATTTGAAAAAATATTAAAAACTTACTATCATTTATATCAATTACCTAAGAAAAAAAAATATTTAAAATGTTTGGAAAAAACAATCATATATTTTTATGACCGGATTTGAATATTTTTTTATTTTTGAAATAAATGGTATTTTACCAAATGACTCAAAAATTCCGACTGTAAAATAACAGGTTTTTTAAAATTTTTGTTCTTTATGTAATATTCTTTTGGTTTAGAATTAAGATAGGTCATACATACACATGCAGGGACATTTTATAAATAGATTGCTCTTGTTTACCTGCTCATAAAATATGAAAAAAGGGCACAGCAAAATTTTTGAAGCACTCAATATAACATGTTCGAAATAGTTTTAAAATAATTATTTAAAAAAAAATTTATTGGAAGTAGATACATACATAATTATTTTTAATAACTTAAAAACTAACTGAAATTATTTGAAACAATTTTATAAGTAACGTATAAATAACCGAAATGAGATAATTCAAATTGCTGAAATGTGTCAACCTATATTACTTTTAATAACATTTTTGTTAGCCGACACTACTCAACTTACCTTATTGGGAAATACAAAATGTGCATAAAAAATCATACATCCTTCCTCATTAACATTTGAAACCATACTGAAATATGAATTTGAAATTTTTTTTAATTTTTTCTTTCCTCCTACCTTTCTTTCTTTTTCGTACAATAGAATTTAATCCTGGTCCGAATGCCTAACACTATTTGCATTCGTGGACCTCGATGTGCCAGCGATATTTGAATCCTGGGAAGCCTCGTTAATTCAATCCGGCAAATTAGTGAGTTCTCCTAGTGACTTTTCACCCACAGCAATCAAAGTTACATAGATATTTTGGGGCAAACGACGAAGCCATAAGTTCTTTATAATGCTCTCATTAAAAGAACCGCCCGCGAGCTGTTTTATTGATATAAATTCTTTATCTAAAAGTGTAAACGCCCAATTTCGGGCATGGAATGTCTGTTAATGAGGGCCTGTTTAAGGTCTTCGTAAGGCTCGAATTCAGGAGGGGCACTTAAAATATCAATAACTGACTCTAAAGTTCCCGGAGGAAGGAACGCAACCGTTAAACAATACTTCATTTAACTCAATTTCATGTGTATAGAATTTCTTTCGAAATTCTATACACATGAAATTGAACCTTCGCTTGGATAAACCAAGTTGCCGGATTGACAGCCCAAAAAGCTGGCAACTTGAATCGAACCAATTCTAAGTTTCTGTTTTTTGATTCTACAAACGGACTAAACGTTGTATTCAATGAAGATTTTTCAGAAACTTAAACTTTTTGTTAAGAGGCATAGCAGAAAAAATTTAAATTTCAAAAATTAAAAACAAAAACACGAAATTAATTTAGGAGAAAGAAAAAAAATCTATTATTGCGATTAGTTAATATAAATTAAAGTAAAAAGAAATATTAAATTTAAAATTTGAAAGTTTAAAAACAAAATCTTCGCACAAAAAAAAACAATTTAATGCTATTTGAATTAAAATAAAGTTGAATAATAAAGGAAATTTGAATTTAAAATAAAATTCTATAATTGACAATTTCAATATATCACCAGCGAACTTATCAATAAAAATGGTGTAACGTCACTGCACTTTCAACATTTACAATAAGAAATGTGAAAGTAATTAATGGTACACATAAATTTATTAATGTTTATGAGTAAATTTATGACTATTAAATTCTTATGATCAATATGATATTACGAGTATAAAGTAATTCAATATTATGTCTATGCACGTATGCAAATTTTTATAGTATTTAAAAATATACGTATATATATGTATATACAGGGTGATTCAGAAAGGTATACAACAACATATATCATTAGAGGGTCGAAAACGGGTAAAACTTTGGTTCCGGAGTAGGTGCGAAATCTCAAGGGTTTTCGAGATACAGGGATTTCAAACAAACAGTTTCTGAAAGGTCTAGTAAAGGGCTTAAAATAAACACCTTACTTGATTATGTATTTTGTCTACTTTCGGAATACCAATCAATCAAACTTTAGGAAAAATCAAATTTT